AAAATCAAATCAGGTTAGAGTAACATATAAACATCTAACTCTCGATAAGTACGTTTAAGACATATTGTGAGATACGATGTATTCAGACATTTAAAAAAGTATGTTCTTTAAATGTTAACAAATTTTTAGCTATACATTTGTAGTTACATCGTGATCGATTGACACTACGATTCACAGAGTGTTGTTGAAGATAAATAATGAAATTTTTAGAAGTAAAAGTAAATATCTATATTTCCCATCCATCCTTTATACTTATTGTTGAATTGAAGAAACAAAAAGTCAAGAAGGTCTATCGTTTCCTCCTCCTACACTTTTCTTATATATACACAGCGTATCTAACGGAAATGAGATTTTGTTCCAGGTGTCTATAAAAAATGACTATTATCATTATTATTGATAATATTTATGTATGCGTCTGCTCTGCTTGATAAACACTTATTGACATTATGTTTATTTAAAATAACAAGATTTAGATTTTAAACAGAGTATATCTATTATTCCATATTAAATAGATGATGATTATTATTATACCACAATTCAGAGACAATAAAATAATATATGTTTCTTTACAAATTTGTCTAACACCTGTAGTGTGTGTGTTACGTGCGTGACAGAGAGACATGGCGCCTAACTGTCTGCGCGACAAAAATCGTACATACAGTAATTAAAACGACAATTGATTTATTTTTGCACAGGCGTCGACGTAACAAAACAATACGGAGCAGCAGCGTCTTTAATAGACAAACGTAAAAGTAAGTAATTATCTAAATGGCAGAGAAAGAAAGATTTCTCACAAGTTTAAAATGCAGCTAAAATTAAGAACAAATTTCTTTGATATAAATATCAGTTTTAACCACGAACTGTAGAAAGAGTATTTTGTCTATGGATCAGTAAACAAACGTTCAATACGAAAGCGGTTCTCACTAATATGTGCTGCTGATTTTATTCAATCAAATAGTTAAGTACTCTCTGAAATAATCGTATTTTAAGAAACTAACAAGGACAATGACAATGAATCATATTTAACTTAGTTTCAGTATTATTCTAAAAAAACATTTTGATTTATTAAAGTATCATTTGGAATTTTTAGGCTCGACAGTTGATTATGATATGCTTAAAATGATTACTTACAAGGGAACGTTTTTCGGTGACTCTTCCGATTTCGTTCGTTCATACGTCATTCGGTAGAGTATATTGAGATAAGAGAAAGCCTAAAAGAGTTCGGACTCATGGCTCTTTAAGGTACGGTTTTCTGAAAAACCAGTTTTTCAGAAACTCTGAAAAATAACCAAAACCTTTCTTAATGAGGCATGATTGTAGCCCGCAAGTTTCTGATTAAAATGAGATATCTCCCAGCTCTTCGCGACCTTTTTTTACAAAGTTATAGAATCTACACGAAAAGCCCTAAATGTTAATTGTCAGCTCAAAGCTACAGAAATAAGAAGAAATTAATTTAGGGCTTTTCGTGTAGATTCTATAACTTTGTAAAAAAAAGGTCGGGAAGAGCTGGGAGATATCTCATTTTAATCAGAAACTTGCGGGCTACAATCATGCCTCATTAAGAAAGGTTCTGATTATTTTTCAGAGTTTCCGAAAAGCTGGTTTTCCAGAAAACCGTACCTTAAAGAGCCATGGGTCCGAACTCTTTTAGGCTTTCTCTTATCTCAATATACTCTACCGAATGACGTATGAACGAACGAAATCGGAAGAGTTCACCGAAAAATGTTCCCTCGTTAGGCACTTTTAACACATACGCTATTTCTCAGCGATATTCATCACGTTTTTTTTATGAACTTTATTCTGCGTGGTTTTTTCATTAGAAAACATTTGAATTACACGATAAGTGTCTAGTATGTTAGGCTGCAGCGTCAAAACTGGCGTAAATGTATGGAGGTACTGAAAATGTATGAAGGTTACTCAACAGACATCATCGACATAGATATAAGATATATACGAGAGTACGTTCATACCTGAAACTAAATGGTTGCAGAATGAACTAAGTCGACAGATGCGTAATAATTTGTTTTCTCCAATGATATCGCTATAAAATGATCGTATGACGGCTATACATTTCATTAGGAACTGGTCTCTCTCAACTAAAAACCTATCTTTTGTATGCAATTAGTTTCGTTCCTGTTATCCTTGTGTTACGAGAGAGACGATGGTGCACTATTTTTTCGCTAGCCAGCGATTTAGTATACAGCGTCTCAAGTTAGTGCAATAGTTGAGAACAATACTTCTAAACTTTAGCGTTCATATTAACTATGTTCTGTTTTGTGATCCATCACTTTGACAGATATTGAGTTTGAACTTGGATCAACTTTATAATATATCGTATGTGATGTTATTTCTGAAACATGATTCTTGCATATTTGATCTGCCTTTTCATCAAGAACAAGAAACTTAGCTTTGTAAACTTATGATAACAAATAAACTTTGGTTTGGAGTAGTCTACTGAAACATATTTTAAAAAACTATTTCTGATTACATTATAAAGAAAATACGTTCTACATTTGTTGCGCATACGGAGTTAGTTTTAAAAACTCGAAATGAAATTTTGAGCTTTGAAAAACTTATACATAGCAGCTCTCCAGTTCTTCCAGAAAGTGGAAGAACCCATGAAGAACTGATCACCAATGCCCTCTATAGGTCAAACGAAGAATCTGTTTTCCTTTGTTTTTTGAGTTCTCTGGAAGCTTAAAGTACACATTTTTCTACCGTGTGCTGCTAAAAGAGAAATTGTTTTATAGCAACAAAGTCTCTTCAGACACTAGAGTGTCTGGCTGAATTTTTAGTTTACTCGATCAATGTGTTTTTATTTGTTAATACAGTATGACAAGTTGATTTTCCGCTTTCTCTCTTTTATTACTGTTATATCTGAGTTCTTGCATTAATTATTGAGATCAAAATGCAAACTTTTTCTACTTATCATCGAATGCAATCGCGTATTAATCAAGTAAGTGGAATCCAGTTGCTTTTTTTTCGTACATTCCTGTGCTTGTTCACTTGTTGTCACGGATGAACGATCAAAGAACACTTTCATCATGATAACAAATTGGTTTCTCGATCTCCACCCAAGAACAAGTTGATTTGTTGTGATGAAAAAGGAAAAGAAAAACTTTCCCTAAGGACAAATCGTATCGCCTGTCATCATAAATTTCTTACAAGTAGATAAGTGTATGTTCGTTGTTTTAGGACGTAAGGAAGCTAACATGATAGAAAAAGAGGAGGAAAAAGAACCGATTCGTCATTGATTTGACTAGTACAGTTAATAAAAATATAAAGTGATTAGACAGCGGCCATGGATAATGTGGTTTGATAAAAAAATTATTCAAGCATGGAAAGATCATGTTAAAGTAATTATGTCTTCGAGCTATTAGCGCTTGGCTACATAATTTAGGCTGAATCATTATGTCAATTCTGCCAAATACATAGTATAGTATTCTGTTGTGTGATAAACTGGGTAACTCGTAAGACGAAAACAGTTTCTAAGCAAAAATTAAGCTTTTGATCATCTGTATACATTTCTTGAGTTATTATGTTTTTTCGGCTTGCCTCGTAATAATCTCTTATCACAGGCACCTCTTTAATATTTTCAACATTTCTCACAAACAAAACATGTTTCTGGATCTAACTAAGATACAAGCGTATCTTCAGTATAAATACGCGTGAGAACTGAATATAGAATTCTCTGTTTTGTGACATATTTTGGATTAGCAAAAATTTCCGGCAATATATAATCTTAAGCTTTGTGCACACTGCGTAGCTATTCAATTTTGACTCGATTCTTTGATTCGTCTGGTATTAGAATCGCTGAATCTACAAGACACCGAGGTATGACCTTGCTTTGTTTTATGTTTGGATTTATTTAGAGTATACAGTCATGTCTGGACGAATACAGACGTCTTCTGAGGACAAACGTTCAAAGGATCAGAATTTTCACCTGACAATCCAAAGGAATTCAGAATTTTCATTAGCCTCCGGATATCACGAGAGACAATCACAGAAAATGTGCCTCATCAACCAAAGACAGACAAACTGAAAGAAATAAAAAAAGGAGCTCGCGAACCGGCTTTATGAAAAGAGCGTGATAAGGATTTCAAATTACGAAAAAGACAAGCTAAAAGCTGAAAGTTAGGCGTAATACTTCATAAATTATGAACATACTTTCATATCATTCTTATCATTTTTTAATTGATCTGGATATAATCCATCTCTTCTACTTATACCACTGCAAATGATGAAGAATTCGATTCTTTCTCGAAAATCATAATATAAATGCATACAACGCAAAAATTATAAAAGTTGAAATTAACGCGAGAAAGTCATGAATACTTCAATAAATATATCGTATATACAAAAGTAGTAGGTAGAAGGAGTGAGATTAAGTCACCTTGTTGATCATCCATGAATGTCGCCGAAATGACTGACTCGATTATTGATTTAACTCTTGAATACGTAAAAATGGAAAATGACAACCATTATATCAATAATGAAAATAAACTACTTTTCATCAACTTGTGTTTTTGTTTGAGAATATGATACATCATTTTCACTTCACGAGAGTGCATAGTTAAACAATAATAATTAATATAACAAATTACATATTAATGAACTAATTAAAACTGAAACTATCACATTCGTTCTCTTAATTACATTTGCAATTAGATTATTTTACTCGTATAATCTAAAGTTAACAAAATGCCTATTAATATTTGTTTCTGATTAATTTGTAAAAAATGCAAAATAGCACGGTTTTATATAAAACATTTAGTTTAAGAAATGTAAACAATTATCACTGTAAAAAACCATCGAACATCTATACATTCGCATGTGATGTGTGTGATACACTTTCATGTATTCAACAGACTAATATTTTTACTATCAATGATGGTACTCTGCTATGAAAACTTGTGCACTTAAGAACCCACTCACTGTAAATAAACACAAATTAAAAAGCAGGAATGAGTACTAAGTTCAGTAAGAAAATTTATCTTTTGTTAAGAAGAGGAAATGTTATTATTTGTCCAGTGTTCTTCAAATGGTGGAGGTGGTGCACTCGGTATCATCGGTATTCGAATACTCCTCGTATCTGTTACTACAGGAGTAGAATCCAATCCGAATCCCGTCGGATTGTTCATTACCGATGTATACTCAGGTGGAGTATCATCAAACGATTTTTTTTTCGGATATTTAATTACTGATTCATATTCAGGTAAATCATTGTCAATAATATAAACTGGATTTTCATTAACAGTTATAACTGAATTTGTGTGAGTAGAAACTATAATAAAAAAAGCATCATGATTTACAGTGCATTGATAACATGAAATTTGAATTATAAAAACAGGCAGTTACCTCTAGATCTTGAGAATCGATTACATTTAAAACGATTACATGAATCACAAACACACGGTCGCCAAAACTTGCAATAAGCACAACAAAACGACAAGAAACAAACACCAGCAACAATGAAGAATGGTATAGCTCTCGAAAGAAAAGCAGCAGAGATGATTTATTTCACGTGCCATAAAATTTGAGTAAATCGTTCTCCCATAGTGTATATACTTACAAGGTAGTCCAAGATATACTACTACAGCATACACTTTGAGAACTGTAAAGTTTTCCGGAGCAACAATGATCGGCGCAACTAGTAAGAAATAATTAGGTATAAATATAAAATATGTATGCACGTAATACACAGCAGCACAACTACTCTCTTTTTTTGAAATCCAGTTATATACTGGGACATTTGTATAGAGTAAGTTTTATCGTATGAGTTTCATTACACTCATATATCTAAAAAAACATTTTTCGCTCAAAAAGTAGGAAAACTTATATAATATATCATTTTATCTGTCCAATGTATCAGCTACGCTATTTCATTCTATACTATAATAGATCTTATACATCAATAGCTAGTAAAATATTCAATATATCTTATATATATCTATATTTGCTCAAATGTTCTCGATTTTTAGTTTCTATTTACTTTATTATTAAGGACATTCCATTTGACGAATAATTACAAAATTCGCTTCCATCTACCTAAAAAATAAAAGTAACTTTATCAATATGGGCACATTATACATAGAGTAGTAACAACTTTCAGCTTTAGAACTTTTTTAATTCAATCTTTATTCTCCAATTACTTCTGTCAACAAACCAAGTTTAAGAGGTTTCTCAAAATAAATAGCTGGTTGTATAGATAATACCTGAGAAACTATTAGATTTACTGCTAATAATGTGAAAATGTTAACAGATGATGATGTTAGAGCCATATTAGGTAGCCGTATCAGAATTTTAGCCAATTTAAAATTTTCACTAAATAAAACAAAAAAATCATCTATATTTATTTTTTTACTTTAGTCTATATTTTTTGTTCTTTACAACTAAGAGAAAAAGAAGTGAGAAGTAAAAAAACACGTTGTCGTCAGAAAAATACTTTTTGTGCGTTGTTGTTTTTTCTCAATTTATTATTACGTTTATTTACTTTTTGTGTTTCGGTTAAAATGGATATTTGTTGCATTCATCAACAAAATATTTCTAAACCGACGAAGAAGAAGAAAAGCTTTTCAGAACTATATAAGACTTCTTTTTTTGCACTTGTAACGAAACTCAAAATTAAAATAATAGAAAAGAGTGAGTTCTGAACGAAAAGAATCTTATTATACTTGAAGTTCAAGATAATGCTTTTACGGTGCAAGTAATGAACTCGTTTAACATATATGAGACAGTCTCGAATGTATTACAATCTGGATGTTATCAATTTTTATCGATAACTGTAATATAACTGCAAAAACTTTTCATAAGATAAATATGTGTAATAAAAAGCAGGGGTAGTTCTTTCGGTCCTGTCTTACACTTTATATGATGGTCTATTAATATTTATTATTATTTATTATTTAAAATCATTTCAAAATGCTTCATTGCTCTATTGCACTTGTTCTAAGATGGTGAAAATCATGAAAATCCGTCGTATTGAAATGCGTTTTTCACCATCAGACTTTAAACTCAAAAGTAATATGTGTATAAGATTCCTCATCGTTAGTTCTATCTAGAAATGTAGTTTTTAACCGTTCACATTGCTCCTGTAAGCCAGTGGAAAGCCATCTTTCACAAGCGTTACGGCACTTATTTAATTTTGGATGGTCGCCCAAGCTACTTTTAACTACGTTTTTCCCATTTTTGTTGACCCCGAC